TATTTATTTTTATTGAGCCACTTATTCTGATGTGTCTGTGACAGGGCAGATCAAACTTTGTGAACTTAAAACAGGCCATCCAGACTTGGACAAGTTCTGTGCTCTAAAAGAAACCTTATCTTTAAGCAAACATGCATCAGTATTCTGAGTAATGATCTCATTTTCTTTAAAGTTGGATAAGGAAATTATGCTATTCTGAGCTAGACATTGTTATTTCACTAACTTAGAAAAGGAAGAATTCCTATGTTTCTAACCAGACTGTAGCAAAATCAACAGAATTGGAACAATTGTGGTAGCTTCAAGGTGGATTATGACTCAAAAGTCTACTTAATCCGCTGTCTCTCGTGCATATGCCCCGCCCTCTTTCTAAATTCTTGCCTCTCTGGCCACCTTGTCTACACACAGTCTCGCCCTCCCTCCTTTCTGTTGCCATGTTTACTTTCCCTCTGTGTGCTTACATTTCTAATCTTTGCTTCTTATGTTACATAGAACACAGGGGCAAAACCTAAAGTTCACCCTGACTCGGGCAGCTTGCCAGAAGCCGGAGGTTTGGCATGTGGAGGGAAGTCAGGAACACTGACCTGCCTTGCCAAAAACCGTCTGTCCTGGGAATCTGTCTTGCACCAAAGCGAGAGGGAGTGCCTCCCACTCACATCTGGAAGTGAAGCTTCTGCATTTCACTTTCTGGCCTTCTCAGAAAACCTCCTTACGTTGGGGGCATTGATTAGCTGCTTCACGCAGGTGACATCTGGGACTCCAGAGTTTGTAAAAGGAAGTTCTCCTCAGGTTCAGGTGTGAGCTCCGTAGATCTGAAGCCGCCTGTTTCTGCAGCAGCTCGCTGCAGGGTAACTTAACTGTGACCTGAATGACTGGAGCAAGGAGAGACTGGAGGAGAGGGAAGGACCTTGTGACAGCACTTGCCGTGAACCTGGCAGCTACTTCCTTGTCTGGTCGTGCTCATAGCACTCCTGCGACCTGCCATGGGGGTTAGTTTGCCCCTGTCGTGACCGTTAGGGACACTGCTAGGACTTGAATCCCATCTGTCCCCAAAGCCCATGTCTCTCTACCACAGAGCCGCTGGTCTCCTGCTGGAATCTTAAGTGTCTCTTGCTGTGCATCACCGTTTTCTAACTCCGCTTGTCTGTGAAGCATTCACTGTTTTCTCATCCTTGTCTTCCACATTTAAGAGCTAAGACCCAGAGTTCCCTCGGTTGGTATTACTCAGCTTTCTGGCTGGTGCGTTTCACAGTGATTTCTTCCAGTCGGAAGACATTGGTTTCAGAGAGCGTGCATGAGCTGAGAGGAAGAACGCCTCGTCCTGGGTAGTTCGCTGCATGATGGAGCTTTTCTAGGAAATGTGCTGCCCTCTTCAAACAGCACTGCTGTAGGAAGCTCACCTGAACTAAAGTCTTTTTTCCGAGGAACAGATCTGTGTCCTCTTTCCAGTATGTCACCCAGAATGGGACCTTCTGCAGGTGATTTCCCAAGGCTCACATTGGTCATTGATAGATATGTGGCTCCCTTCTTAGCTAGTGTGTGAATGCAGACCAGGGAGGCATGCCCAGCAACTCCGCCAGCCATGAGCACTTTAAAAATGCATGCTCCAGGGGAAAGTTAGTCTGACAGACATTTATCCTGTACCTAACGTACACTAGACGTGTACTGTGCTGGACGTGGGGGCTAGAACAGTGTCCAAGGTGGAGCTTGCCCTCACGGAGCTATCAGTCTGGTGGGAGAAACACCTTCAGCAGGATGTCTAAGTGGGACACCCAGGGTATGCAGAGGCCTCCTGTGGTTCTGCTGAAGCAAGTGGGTCCTGAGGGGCATCTGGGCCCAGCCAGGTGAAGGACATGCGGGAGCGACATTCAGGAGGACTGCAGGGACTAGATGGGCACTGAGGTGTGGCTGGCCAGGCTAGTGCGTGGCGCTCCCTCAGCTAGGCATTGCCTGGGCACAGTGGGAAGATAGGGCTAAAAGCTCAACCAGGAGGACCAGCCGAAGCCAGGCCTTGTTGGCCTCCCATGCTGATTGAGGAACATGGATGTGGTCACCAGGGTAGCATTTTAGAAGGATTGTTGGAGCGGCAGACCCACTCGACATGGGCAGTAGACCAGGCAGCAGGTGTCCTCTGGACAGAACTCTGCTCTCTGCAGCCCGAGCTCCCAGGTTAGTGGCTGCCTCTGCTGCCAAGCCCCGCTTCTGGATTGTTCCTTCGGCAAGGCACATGTGTCATAGCCACGACCATTTATGTACCTCTCTTAATCCAAATAACTGTAAAATTAGGGGTTTTTATTGATTTTAGAAAGAGAGATGTCAGTGTGTTCCACCTATTTATGCATCACTGGTTGATTCTTGGGTGTGCCCTGACTTGGGATCAGACCCGCAACCTTGGGATATTGGGACGTTGCTCTGACCATCTGAGCTGCCCAGCCAGGATAAAAATAGGTATTTTTAAATCCTCGTTTTAGAGTTTTTAAAAATTGTGGCTCAGACCAATTGTCTCGCCAGAGGGTTGAGCTGAGGTTTGTGGCACTGCCCTTTGAGGTTGAGAATGTGCCATGCAACCCTGGGTGTGCCGCCTTTCTTGGGGTAAAGGGACAAAGGTCATGTGTGCACACCAGGGCCAAATGGCACTGTACTTTCAGGGAACCTGTGTAGGAAAAGCTGCTCTCTGCAGGAGATTGAGTTGGCAAGAAAAACTGCCAGTGGGTGTCTTTTAAATACTCTCATTTCCATGTGTACATTAAATAGAGTGATGTGCCACAGATGTGACCGAGTTAATGCTTGTGACAGGGAAGCCTACATGCTTACATTGAGGTGCATGGAAAGGCTGGATCTGCTGTGGCCAGCTCGAATCACTGGCTTGCTGTGGAGGCGCAGAGGCAGGCTGGGCTGGCTGTGTAGGGCCGAGAGCCCTGAGCTGGAAGAATCCTGCAGAACACCGAGAGAATCCCTCTGCAGACAGCCATTCTACTCCCATCCCTCACCACCTTCCTCCACCCAATCCCTGCCAACTACAAGGGAGCAGACTCACCATCCAGCCCTCAGCTGCCATTTTTGGGCCTTTGCACCCTCACGCTGCCCTGTGTGTGGACCACTCCCACCTGCCCATCACCCTGCGGGCAAGGCCGGGGCCTGCTGTCCTCACCTCTGGTCTGAGCTCTGAGCTCAGTCCCTGACACATGGGACTGACTGAATGCACAAGTGAAAGGCAGGGAGAGGAGTAGTGAGAAAAAAACTGCTCAGGCTTTGAAAATCTTAAGAATCGTATGAGCTTGAGGGTAGGACGTGACTCTTAAATAATAATTACTTCTCTCTGTGCTTTGCAGCAAAGCCTGACCTTTCATGTATATAAGAAGCACAGACAAATCTTGAATGTTCTTAACACCTCTCTTCTCACATGTACACAATATTTGTCCTTGAACCATACTGACCTGGGTCTCCATTTGGCTCTTGAAAGGATTAATGCATAACACAGGTGTTTGCATCGTGTCCATGAGCATGCTGGCCAGGTGATGGGGGTGAGGAGTGATCTGACTTGATGAGACACTTGGCCTTTGGTCAGTGCCTTAAGGAAGTATCTGGTCCTCCCAGAGAAGGTTCAGAAGGTCCCCAACAGGAAAGAAACGTGACTGAGAATTCAGGAAGGTAGAGCTTCCTTAAACAGAACAGTCCTCGAGCAGACAAGGGAATGACATCGTCCACCAGTAAGTGCTGGACACCTGGCGCGTGCCCAGCCTTGCTGGGGACTTCAGAGTTGTTCTGAGTAGTAGCACACAAAGCAGAGAGGAGCCTGACAGGGTGTCCAGTGCAGGGCTGGCACCAGGATAAATGTGCTGGATTGTCGCTGTATCTTGTAAGAAAGTGCATACCTGCCCTGCCGGGCGTGGCTCAGTGGTTGAACGTCGACCTAGGATCCAGGCGATTGGGGTTCGATTCCCGGTCAGGGCACATGCCCGGGCTCAATCAATGACTCTCTCATCATTGATGTTTCTCTCTCTCTCTCTCCCTCTCCTTTCCTCTCTCTGAAATCAATAAAGATATATTTTTTAAAAAAAGAGAGAAAAAAAAGAAAACGCATACCTGTTTATAGCTCCGTGCCTTCATATATCATTTATGTATGTATTTCTTGCCATTAATAGCAGTCACTGTCATTTACTGACTAGTATATCTGGATCCCTCCTCACATGACCTGTTTTTACAGATGAGGTAGTGGGGTTAATGTGTGAATGGTGTGGCTGGGATTTGTTTCCAGCTCTCTGAGCCCAAGCTTCTGCTCTTCCTTTCCTTTGGGTTTTGCATTTGGCTCCCACCTTTATCACAGAGTGTCTGTGGCCCTTCTTGTGACTAGAGAACATGACTTCGTGTGTCTCAGTACACCGGGACCCCTTCAGAGATCTTGAGGCACTCACGTGAGCACAGATTCCTGGACAAGCAGCTTCCACAGGAGGCTGCTCAGGAAACCTCTCTGCAGCTGGCGCCTCCATGGAAACTTGAATGTTGAGGTCACTGACTTCCAGGCTTCTCTCCAGATATTTCCATCCTGGGGCCCACAGGCCATTGGAGAGCATTTCTGTTTTCAGGTCCTATCTCCTAGGGCAGACTCTCAGATGTACCTGCACATAAGAATCTCGGAGAGCTTGAAACAGCCTGCTGGCCCTGCCCACAGTCTGATTCAGCAGGTCCAGAGGCCCTTAGAAGCTGCCTTCCTGACAAGTTCTCAGGATGTGGTGCTGCTATGGTGGGGTGGGGAGGCTGCGTTCAGAGAACCACTTTTCTAAGGTCTCTGCCCAAATCCCCTATACCTGCCTTCCCGTGTCCTCACACTCCTGTAAAAGTACCCTTTACACCACTTTGCTTTTAACTTCTTGAACAAAATTAGCCTGAGGAATTGCCAGCTGCCGGGCAGCGGTAAATGAAGTCTGTTGTTGGGTCTCTGGAATCAGGCAGCACTCCTCTCGGTGCGTGGCACTCACTTGCTGGGGGACCCTGTGTTTCAGGTGGTGAGGGCTGCCGAGGAAGCCGCATCCACTCTGGCCAGCTCCATCCACCCTGAGCAGTGCATCAAAGTCCTTTGCCCCATCATCCAGACAGCTGACTACCCCATCAACCTTGCTGCCATCAAGATGCAGACCAAGGTCGTGGAGAGGATTGCCCGGGAGTCCCTGCTGCAGCTCCTAGCTGACATCATCCCAGGCTTGCTGCAGGTAGGCCTTCGGTGTGGGGTGGTGCTTGCACAGGCTGGGAGGTGGGGAGCAGTGTGGCTCTGCACCTCAAGTGATGTGGAGACTTTACTCCTTCCGTGCACTTGCAGCTGGGTAGGGAGAAACGGCCAGTGGGTGGCCTGAGTTTCAGGACCTAGCAGCTGTATGGCGTCCCTGCCTCACGCCTTTTCTTTGTCTCCCAGTCCACTCTCCTCTGGGTGCAGCAAGGAGGTGTTCCCTGCAGCGAGGAACTGCAGCAGCTCACAGAATGAACTGTTTACTGTAAACATATTTTGATCATTTTTGTTGTTCATTCCTTAAACAAACCCTTATTGCACATCTGTGGGCCCCAGCCTTGGGCAGGCAGTCCATGGGATGCAAAATCAGATGGTGGTCCTTGCTCTCACATGTCCAGCAAATGTTGATTGAAATCCTTTTAAGTGTGAGACAGGCCCTTGAGAAATAAGATGGCCCTCCACTGTTCGGCACAGCCTCGGGGATTCTCACTCAGCCTGTGGTGGGACACCACACAGCCCGGGGACAGGTGGAGATGCTGGCGCTGTATGCTGGGTTACGGCAGGGAGGTGCAAGCTGATGGCTGTGAGGTCAGAGGAGGAGAAAGGGGCTCACCGGTGAGGTGGGGTGAGGTCGAGTGGGGTCCTGGAGAGGAGAGATTTTGGTGGGGAAAGGTAGAGAGAGAGAAGTCAGCGTCATGTGTAGTGCTGCTGTTTGCTGGGCATGAGGACTAGATTACTCCAGGCAGAGGTAACGACAATGGCTGGGAAACCCTAGGGTCTGTTTGGAGAACAGCAGGTAGTTCCATTAGGGTGTGGGGTGGGGATGAGGTCGGTGGGTAGGTTGAGGTCCAGCTGTAGCAGGTGCTAACTGATGTCAGGCTGTGGGACCAGGCATGAGAGTGCGTGATGTCGTTCTCATTTCTTTAAAGGGATTTTTACACATGAAATTTGTTTCACCATTGGGACAAGTAGGAAGGAAGCAGGTGATTGTCTCCCCTGACTTCCTTTTCTTATTCTGCCTGTCACGATTCTTCTCGAGTGATACTGCTATGGCCATGCCTGTAAAGCAGCCCTGGGCGGCAGGGTGGCCCACAGCCCACCAGCCTCCCTGGGGTGAAAGCTCTCTGGGTTCAGGTGCAGAGATAAGTTATATCCTGGTTCTTTTTGACAAGTCCAAGGTTGAACTCTAAGGGCACTTGTGGGAATGTTGATGAAATACTGGCTGTGAAGCAAATCTTTGATCTCGTTTCTTTTCTGTGTCTCCTCCGACTCTGTAGGGTTATGACAACACTGAGAGTAGCGTGCGGAAGGCCAGTGTGTTTTGCTTAGTAGCAATTTATTCCGTAATCGGAGAAGAGCTGAAACCTCACCTTGCACAGCTCACGGGGAGCAAGGTATGTATCGTGTTTCGTGAACAGATGTGCACACCTGGGCCCTGCCAGCTTGTCAGAAATTCGCTATTTGCAGCTCTGAACTCCAGACAGGCTTTGCTCATTATGTGTGTTGTAGTTGGGCCGCCTTTCTCTAAAAGTATTTTCCTAAAGATAAAAATGACCAACTATGTAGTGAAGTCACTTTAAGTTACAGCGTGGTCTGTTGTAACTCCTGTTTTTGAAATACCTTTGAGCTTCTAGTTTATTCCCAAAGGGAAGATGACTTTGTTTAGAAGCCAGCTCATCGTCTTTCACAGAAACACTAAGGAAATCTACCTGCTAGCTTAACAGGTTGCTGAGTGGGATCTGGGTTTCTAATGGGCATCTGTAGTACTGATGGCTGACTCTCGCCTTGTGCCCGACAAGTCCTGCCCTCCGTGTTTGTCGACTCATTTATTCATGACAACATCCCCGTGGGATAAGGACAGATCCTGCATTTAACCTGCCCAAGAGCACACAGTGATCTTAACTCCAGAAGCCAGGATTTAACTTACTAGCTGCCTCTCACGTTTCTTTAACAGTATTTTATAATCAGACAGAAAATAGAAAAAAAAGACTGTTGGCTCATTGAAAATGAAATTGCCTAGAGTGCTTATTGGTTTAAAAATAATCTCCGATCTGATGAAGTTGCCACGTGAGAGCAGGTAGAAACCTCCAGGCTCCGGTAGGAGAGGCAAGAGTGGGAGACCGGGTGCGCCTTGGAGACCTCCGTGGAGAAGAGCCTATTCCTGGACTGCCTGTGGGGAAGTGCCCTGTCAGTGGTGTGATTTAAAGAGCATGAAGCTAGAAGCATCTGGCCTTGCTCCTTATGAAAGAAAGAATCAGCAAGTGACGCCCCATTTATTTTCAAATTGCACTGTTCCTTTGACACAGTTGGGAGCATCACAGCATGAGTCTTGCTCTCTCAGAGTTCTGGGCAAAGCTGGCTCTGACCGCCTTTGTCCAGAGCATGGCTTGTGGGACCCTCAGCACTGTTGACACTTCAGACCATGTGTGGAGGCGGGGGGGTCCTGTGCGTTGTAGGAAATTTATCAGTGTCCCTGACTGCCACCCCACTCCTCACTTGTGACTCACTACAGTCTCCACACACGGCCAGGTATCCCATAGGGGACAAATAGCCCCTGGTTGAGACCCACTATCCTTGCAAACAAATGGGCATTGGGGTTGGAGATGTGAGGGAGGCAGATGTGGATGAGTGGTTTGGAGACTGCTGCTCCTGCTTCCATTCCAGTTTCTCCGTTCCCCTCTGCTCCTGCGAAGCCTCCTCACTGATCCTTTCCTGACCACCTGGAAAGTACTGGGCCGAGAGTCCCAGCAGTGTGCTGGGCCAGGAGCCTTCCAAAACTCTCCTTGCTTCTATCAGGGGCCTGTAGGTGGTTCCTGGTTGACTGATCTAGAAGACATGTTCACAAAGGGAGTTGGATTTATAAAACAGAAAACTCATCCCCAATTAATATTAGACCTTGGTTTTGTCTGGTACTTCCTGCCTTCCTGAGTAAGGGAGCTGTCCCTCATCTCACTTGGCCCGTCTAATAAGGAGCTGAGGAAATGCAGGTGTTCTCATCCCTGTCCTGCAGTCGCCCCTCCTGCCGCCCCTCTCAGTGGTGGCCTTGGGCCAGGGGCCCACGTCCTGAGCGGGAGCCAGTATTTCCCCTCCCCCAGCTACAGCTTCAGTCAGAGGGCTTAGGGGCTGGGCTTAACACCCTTCTGGTTTGGTAGCCAGTTCATCTAGTCTTTACAATTTTTAGATGTGATAACTCTGGTATGTTAATATAAACTTTGTAGACTCAAATACACATCTCCTAAAACAAAGAAACAACCCCCCTTCAGAAAAAGTGTAGCGGACAGAACATGGTACGGTCATCTCCTAGACCAGAAACAGAATCGAGTCTTGGCTTTCTGTTTCCTTGTGGACCCGGGCCTCCCGGAACCGCCTGCCTAACTGGCCTTAATGCTGTCAGGTTCTGTAGCAGAAGGCCTGATGCAAGGACCAGGAAGGACCCTGTGGGTACATTTTGTGAAGTGTCCCACTGCTGTGGCAGCCTGCCTTCTGGTCTCTGCCCCCAACTCACTAGCTGTATGACCCTGAGCAAGCTTTCTTTTCTCTTTTTCTCAATTTTTTTAAACCGTGATAAAATATACATAACATAAAACTTTCTTAGCCATTTCAAGTGCGCAGCTCACTAAGTGCATTCATGTTGTTGGGCAGCCATCACCACCATCCATCTTCAGAACTCTGAAGTTCTACCCATTAACTAGTAACTCCCCATCCGTCCCCACCTCTGCACCCCCAGCCCCTGGGAACCACCATTCTACTTTCTGTGTCTATGAATTTGACTACTCAGGTGCCTCATAAAAGTGGAATCATACAGTGTCTGTCTTTTTGTGACTGGCTTAGGTTGAAGCATGTGTCAGAATTTCCTTCTTAAGGCTGAATAATATCCAGTTTGTTGTAAATAACCAAATAACAACATTTCGGTTATTTCTTGGTAATTCACTTTTGATTGGTTTACACCTTTGGCAATTGTGAATAATACTGCTATGAACATAGGTGTACAGATATTTCTTTGACACCCTGTTTTCAATTCTTCTGAGTATATACCCAGGAGTGGAATTACTAGATCATATAATAACTGCCAAACCGTTTCTCCAGTGGCTACACCATTTGACATTCCCACCCAGAGTGAACAAGGGTTCCAGTTTCTCCACATCCTAGCTGACACTTGTTATTCTCTTTTTGATAGTAGCTTTCCTAACAACTGGTGTGAGGTGGTGTATCGTTATTTTGATTTGCATTTTCTTAATGATTGGTGAGTTGACAATCTTTTTATATGCTTGCTGGCCAGTTGTCTATTTTCTTTGGAGAAATGTCTATTCTATTCAATTCCTTCGCCCTTTTTTGAATTGGATTGTTTGGTTTTTGTTATTGTTGAGTTTTAGAAGTTCTCTATATATTCTGGATGTAATTCCATGTCTTTTTATGTACAAAGTTTCTAAATTTTCATGAAGTTTAATTTTTCTATTACTGTTTTTGTTGGTGTTCTTTTGGTGTCATATCCAAGAAATCATTCCAAATCCAGTGTTGTGAAGCTTTTGCCCTATGTTTTCTTCTAAGAGTTTTATAATTTTAGCTCTTACACACAGGTCTCTGATCCATTTTGAGTTAATTCTTATGTAGGTGTTAGGTAAGGGTCTAACTTCATTCTTTTGCCTGTGGATATTCAGTTTTCTCAATACCATTTGTTGAAAAGACTACGCTTTTTTCATTGAATGATCTTGGCACCCTTGTCAAAAATCATCTGACCACATATGTGAGGGTTTATTTCTGGGCTCTCTGTTCTGTTCCATTGGTCTATATGTGTGTCTTTATGACAGTAGCACTCTGTGTGTTTTGATTACTGTCGCTTTGTAGTAAGTTTTGAAATCAGAAGGGTGAGTCCTTCAGCTTTGTTCTTTTTCTAGATCATTTATTTGGGTTTGGGGTTTATTGAGATTCCCCAATTTAGGGTTGATTTTTCATTTCTGCAAAAACCTCATTGGGATTTTGATAGGGATTTTATTGACTCTAGATAGCTTTGGGGGGTCCTATTGACATCATAACAATATTGTCTTCCAATTCATGAACATTGGGTGTCTTTTTTATTTATATGTCTTTAATTACTTTTAGCAACATTTTACAGGTCTTTTCACTTTCTAGGTTTAGTTAATTCATAAGTATTTTATTCTTTTTGATGTTTTTGGAAATGGAAACATTTTAATTTTCCATTCATTGTTAGTGTATAGAAATGCAACTGGTTTTTGCTCATTGATTTTTGTATCCTGCTACTTTGCTGAATTTGTTTGTTAGTCTTAACTTTTTTGTGTAGAATCTTTTGGATTATCTACATAGAAGATCATCTGCAAACAAAGATAATTTTACTTCTTCCTTTCCAATGTGAATGCCTTTCATCTCTTTTCCTGCCTAATTGCTCTAGCTGGAACTTACAGTTCTGTAGTGAGTAGAATTGGTAAAAGCAGGCATCCTTGCCTAGTTCCCAGTCTCAGAGGAAAGGCTTTGTCTTTCACCATTAAGCATAATGTTCACTGTGGGCTTTTCATATATTGCTTTGGATATGTTGAGGTAGTTTCCTTCTCTTTCTAGTGTGTTGAGTATTTTTATCATGAAAATGTATTGAATTTTGTCAAATACTTTTTCTGCATCAATTAAGATAATCGTGTGGGGGGTTTTTTTCTTTCTGTTAATGTGATATACAATATTTATCAATTTTTATATGTTGGACCATCCTTGCATTTCAGGAATGTATCCCACTCGGCTATGTTGTATAACCTTTTTTTTTTTTTTTTTAACATATCTTTATTGATTTCAGAGAGAGTAAAGGAGAAGGAGAGAGAGAGAAACACCAATGATGAGAGTCATTGATCGGCTGCCTCCTGCACGCCCCCCACTGAGGATCAAGCCCGGAACTCGGGCATGTACTCTGACCGGGAATCGGACCAGGATCTCCTGGATCCTAGGTGGATGCTTAACCCTTGAGCCACACCCAGCGAAGCTGTATGACCTTTTTAATATGCTGCCGAATACTGTTTGTTAGTCTTTTCTTGAAGATTTTTACATCAGTGTTCATAAGGGATGCTGTAGTATTCTTGTAATGTCTTTGTCTGGCTTTGGTACCAGAACAGTGTTGACCTCATAACATGAGTTTGAAGGTGTTTTTTTCTCTTTCATTTTCTGGAAATGTTTGAAGAGGATTGTGTTAGTTCTCTAAATGTTTGGTAGAACATTTGAAGTGAAGCCATCTGGTCTTTTCTTTGTCAGGAGATTTTTTTATTGCAATTTAATCTCCTTACTAGTTACAGGTCTGTTCAATCTCTCTCCATGTTTCTGTCTTAGTAGGTTTTGTGTTTCCAGGAAATTGTCCGTTTCATCTACTTATCTTAATTTGATGGTGTACATTATTTTATAGCATTCTCTTGTAATCATTTTGGTTTGGGTAGAATCAGTAGTAATGTACACCCATTCATTTCTGATTTTAATAATTCAAATCATCTCTTTTTTTTAATGAGTTTAGCTAAAGGTTTGTCAATTTCGTTTATTTTTTTTTTTAAGAATCAACTTTTGGTTTCATTGATTTTTCTCTATTTTTGTTACATTTCTTTCTGCTCTAATCTTTATTATTTCCTTCATTCTACTAGCTTTGGGTTTAGTTTATTCTTTTTCTAGTTCCTTAAGATGTAAAGTTATGTTGTTGTTATGAGATCTTTTTTAATACAAGCATTTATAGTGGTAAATATCCCTCTTTGCACTGCTTTTGGTGTGTCTCATAAGTTTTGGTATGTTGTGTTTTCATTTCATTGTTTCAAGGTATTTTTAAATTTCCTTTGTGATTTCTTCTTTGACCTTTAGTGGTTTAAAAGTGTGTTCAGTCTTAGCCAGTTTGGCTCAGTGGTTAGAGCATTGGTCTACAGACTGAAGGGTCCCGAATTCGATTCCAGCTAATGTCATGTACGTTGGTTATAGGCTTGATCCCCGGCCCTGGTCCTGGGCCCGTGCAGGAGGCAACCAATTGATGTGTCTCTCTCACATCAATGTTTCTCTCTCTCTCTCCCCCCCTCCCCCTTCCACTCTCTCAGAGAAGCAATGGAAAAAATATCTACAGATTTGGAGGAGAGGGGGTTGGTTTTCTTTTTGTTATTGATTTCTAGCTTCATTCATTGTGTCCAGAGAAGACACTTTGAATGAAACTTATGTTTTAAAATCTGTTAAGGCCCTATCTCAGTAGGTTAGTTGGTTAGTGCATCATCCCAATACACCAAGGTTGTGGATCTGATCCCCAGTCAGGGCACATAAAAGAATCAGTCAATGAATGCATAAATAAGTGGAACAACAAATCGATGTTTTCTATCTCCTCCCCCCCCCCACCCGTCTCTCTTCCCTCCCCCTTTCCTCTCTAGTTCTCAAAAAAAATAAAATCAATAAGTAAAATCTCTTAAGAGTGAGTTTGTGTCATAACATATAGTCTGTCCTGGAGAATGTTCCATGTGCATTTGAAAAGAATGTATATTCTGTTGTTGTTGGGTAGGATGTTCTGTATAGATATAATTGGCTCATTGCATTGTTTAAGTCTTTTATTTTCTTTCTGGTTCTTTCCATTATTAAGAGTGGGGTATTAAAGTCTCCAACTATTATTGTAAAACTGTTTCTCCCTTCAGTTCTGTCCATTTTTACTTTATATTTGATACCATGTTATTAGATGCATAAGTGTTCATAATTATGTTTTTGCTGTATTGATTTTTTTTTTTTTAAATATATCTTTATTGATTTCAGAAAGAGGAAAGGAGAGGGAGAGACAGAAACATCAATGATGAGGGAGTTATTGATCAAGCCCACAACTGGGCATGTGCCCTGACTGGGAATCGAACCCCGATCGCCTGGATCCCAGGTCGACGCTCAACTGCTGAGCCACTCCCGGCCGGGCTGTATTGATCTTTTATTAATATATAATGTCCTTCTTGGTCTCTTGTAACTTTTTTTTATTTAAAGTCTATTTCATCTGATATTAGTATAGCTACCCTGTGCTCTTGGTTACTGTTTGCATGGAATATCTTTTCCATCCTTTCACTTTCAACCTGTTTGTGTCCTTGAATCTAAAGTAAGGGTTTTTTTGTAGACAGCAGAGTTGAATCATGCTTTTCTGTCCACTCTGCCAGTCTCTGTCCTTTGATTGGAGAGTTTAACCCATTTACATATAAGTAACTACTGACAAAGGAGACAGACTTCTAGCATTTTAGTATTTGTTTTCTATATGCCTTAAAGCTTTTATTGTCCCTCATTTCCTGCATTACTGTCTTCTTTTGTGTCTGTTTGCTTTTTGTACTAAAATATTTTAATTCCCTTCTTTTAATTCCCTTCTCATTTCCTTCTGTGTATATTCTATAGGTGTTTTCATTACAGTTACTCTGGGGATTGCGTTTGACATTCTAAAGTTATAACAGTATAATTTGAATTTATACCAGCTAATGAGCAAGCTTTCTGAACCTCGGCTTTTTCATTTTTAAAATAGGAGAACCTGTTCTGCCTACCTCGAAGGGTTTTTGCAAGGCTCCAACATGATAATCAGTGTAAAGCTCCTGCAGACTGTGAAACATGTACATGTCATTAACTCTGTTGTCACCTTTCCCTTGTACTTACAGTTGTATTCTACAGTCACTGGGTGGTACACTAGTGGTCTGAGTTGCAAAGAAGTATAACAGTTTTTAGTAACTCGTTTTTAACTGGCCTTACATAGAAATATCTTCTAGATACTTTTTTATGTTTTAAAAACTCAGCACGTTTGTGTTGGGAACCTGCTTTCTTCACTACATGATGCCAAGGCATGTGAGAAAGGCAAAACCTATCTGCCCTGAAGCAGCATAACGTGCAGCTGAGGCACAGGGTTGGCACACCGGGAAACGTACATGGCAGCCCGGGGGTGACGGGCCTGTGGGAAATGCTGGGACAGGCTCTGATTGCTGCGTCCTGGGCCCATCGGAGCAGGAGGAGAGGGAGAGACCTCTTGGAGGAAGTGGGACCAGGCTGGGCTGGGCAGGGTGGGGGTGAGCTGCATGGGGGG